AGCTCGGCCCGCCTCCGCTCCCTACGACCAGCGCGGGCAGCGAACAAAGCCCGGAGACTGCGGCGCCGAGCTGAGGCGGGGGCCTCAGCTGGGTGGGTGGCAGGCCGCCTTGGGGGAGGGGAAGGTGGGGCGCCAGGCGCCCTTCCCCCGGCCCCCCAAACTGTCCTCCCACCAGGAAATGCAGCTGAAATCAGGTTAATGTATAATCTAGGGACGACGTGCCGGGACTTCCAAGGGACTCGCCGGGAGCGGCAGGGTTCTCTGGATAGGAGAGGCTACCGGAGCTGGACCTCTCTTTCCCCTTGTTTCGGCCCCACAGCAGGATTGCTCAGAGCTCCCGCGGCCTTAGGGCCCCGCCATAGGCTCTAAGGTGGACTAGAGGGACTACGCCCCCTGCCGGTGGCCGGTCTGCGGTGACTGGCCTGAATTGCGCTCAGACCCGCCTACCAGCCCTCTAGCTTGGTAGGACGGTGGGATGCTTCTTATCGACCTATGGCTACCTTCTCTTGTCTTGCTGCGGAACCTACCACAGCTCCTCCTCCTTCCCCTCCCCCTCTGTGGACCGGCGCTTATCCAGCTTCGCCTGGCTAGGTACAGGGTACAAACTGAGGCCCAGGAGAGCTAAGCTAGCTCCGGATCTACAGAAGGTTGAAAGAAAAACAGAAGACAGCTCTGTCTTCACAATACTGGGATTGCTGTGCCTGGGCCACAGGCCTTTGAACCAGAAGCTAGAATAAAGTGTGTGTGGCAGAAGCGTTTCCTCCTGAAAAAGGTACTACCACCAGGACCCTGACAGGCTTCAGGGAAGGGGGTGGTCAGTGAAGGTTTGGTATCACGTCTATACAGTGGACACCAACACCCTAGATCTGGAGTCACCTGACCCAGGTATGCACAAACACACCAACCAAAAGTGGGGGCTTCTGAGTCTCCACTCAAATTCTCTTTAAAAGTCTGAAGGTTGAGCCGGTCGGTAGTTGCCCACGTCTTTAATCCCAGCACTCAGGAGGCAGAGGCAGGTGGATCTACTGAGTGAGTTCCAGGACAGCCTCCAAAGCTACACAGAGTAAGTAACCTTGTCTCAAAAAACCAAAAACAAATAAATTAAAGTCTGAAGGTTGAAATGTTATGGTCCCCCAGGACCATAAAGGTACTTGTCCTGACTTGCTTGTGCCTTAGGCTGCCTCAAAGCATGAGTAAGTAACTAGAGTAGGAAAAGACAAGAGAAAGGAATATCAGGCAGGAAGGGGATGAAGGCTTTCCAATTGAGTGCCTCCTATCTGAGATAGGATTTCCTTTGTGGACAAGTGAGGCCCCGAATCCAGGTGCCCCCTTACATGCCAGTAATGGCCCTCTTTATAGCCCTGATGAGGTGTACTTGCTAAACACCCATGTCCTAAATAGCAACTGGTTGATGTGAGTAGGGAGGCCCTGCCCTACCCTTCTGTGGACTAGTGCTGGTGGGACTAGAAACACCCACAGAAAAATACAGCACCCTCCTTCACAACCCACCCAGGCAGGTCCGAGAACATTCCTTCACTATTTCCAAAGGATCTGGGGAGCAACTGGTCCCATTAGGAGCCTCATCCTATTACTTACAGACCTACCCCGACCTGTCCCTAAGCCAGATACAGAGATCAGGACTAGTTGTTGAGGGGCTGGATGAGTCTCAGAACTGGGTCCCAGAAAAAGTGTCTTTCTCTAGAAGTGAACTACCCAAAGGGTTTGGAAGGGGAATTCTCTGACTAGGCTCTAACTGTGAAATCCTTGTCCCTTAGCTTGGCAACATAAGGCCTTGTCACAATGGATGGACTTGGGTTCTTTCACCTGACCTCAGCAGGAATGTAGAAGAGAAGGCAACTGATGGACATTTCTGAAGGACAAGCACAGGAGGCAGAACTTCTCATTGGATCACCTTTTATTACCAACATAGGCTATGGATAGAGGCCTCAGGCATAGCATACCCTCCTTACCCCCCCACCCCGAAGGCGCAAATTCATGAACACTATGCACTGGGGCTTTAGGTCATACTCCCCCAGTGGCTGTTGGTCCTCCATGGGCCTTCCCTCAAAGCTCAGCCAGAATTGGTCCTCCTGTATGTGCTCCTTCTGGGACACCTGCCTCTTAAGCTCTGCTACGGTCTGTGTCAGCCGGACCTCATAGATACTGCTTCGGCCCCGATCATTCCGAACCAGGATGCTCAAAGGGTTGTTGCAATTCTGTACAATCAACATGACAATGCTGTCAGGGCCCAGGCCCTGGCTGATGAGGGCAATGTTCTCTTGTAGCATGTTGCCACTTTCATGGGCCAAGCGTTGCTGGAAAGCTGGAACACCAGTCTTGTGGAAAATCTGCCTCTTCAGTCCCGATAACGTCATGGAGTTAGTCAGGGGCACCAGGAACTCGTCACCCCCCAGCATCTTCACCTTCAGGTTCCAGGTCTGCAGGCATCACATGGGTTTAGCAATGATTCTCAACCTTCCTAATGCTGCTACTCTTTAATACAGTTCCTCATGTTGTGGTGACCCCCAACCATAAAATTATTTTCATTGCTACTTCATAATTAATTTTGCTACTGTTATGAATCATAATTTAAATATCTGATATACAGGATATTCTATATGCAACCCTTGTGAAAGGGTCATTTGACCCCAATGGGGTCTTCACCCACAGGTTGAGAACCACTTTAAAGGTTTAAAGACTCCTCTGGCACCAGTACTGGTAGTTACTACATCTGAAGCACTGGTCACAGGACCAGTTCCCATACCCACCCCCATCCTCTCCTCCATCAGAGGGGACCATCCAGGTATGGGGATGATACAGAGGAGTCAGTTCTAAAGGACCAAACTCCTACAACCATCACATTTCAGTTTACCCACCAAGATATCCTTCTGGGTCCAGCCCTAAGGGATCTAGGGCTGGTAGCTGAGCAGACAAGGAACCTAAATCCCTCCCTCATAGTGATCTTTGAGCAACTATATTCTGTTTCCACACTGTGACTATTCTACCTCTTGAAGACCCTCTCAAGGAATGGAGGAAAGCCAACTAGAATGGAAACCATCTGCTCCTGCCCCAAATAGGACTCACCATGGCTGTAGGCTTTATCACTAGGTCCCCTGCAGAAACTGAGGAGTTTGCTTGTTGAGGCTTCTGGCTGCTCTCTCTCTCACATCCAGAGACAGATGTGTGAGAGGGCAGCTCTTTTAAGTGTATGAGCTGTGGGTGTCAAGGGGCGGAGTCAGAGCAGCCTTCTGTTTCGGTTTCATTTTCCCAAGGCATACCTTAAATGAATGGGAAAACCAAAACCAAAGCCAAAGGAAAAGAAACTGTAGCTGAGAAGAAAAGGGACTGGCTCTCCAGGGTCAAGATCACAACTGAGACCTGTGTACTATGAAACCCCCTAAATATCCAGCATTTCAGATCCTTTATAAGGCATGTAAAAGTCATAATAGGAACTAATAATAGGAAACTTATTTTTCATTTATCAGCTTGAAAATTAGTTATCTTGGAAAAATGCCACAATAATTAATTCAGAAACTGCACAAAGTAGTGACAATCAAAACTGCCCAAAGACAACAACTATTGGTTATTTGTTTAGGACAATAATTATTAGAATGTACTGGGGGGGTTATAGGAAGCATTTTGTTGTTGTTTTCAGACTTCTCTGTGTTGCCCTGGGTGTCCTAGAACTTGCTCTGTAGACCAGACTGGCCTCAAATTCACAGAGATCTGCCCACTGAGTGCTGGGATTAAAGGCATGCACTTCGGCCACCACCACCATCTGGCCAGTAGGAAGTATTTCTATCCTAGGACAATTTATTAAGACCTTATTGTTTACATGAAGAGGTAATAATTGAGTCAGATGGTTTTTGAGCTAGTCCTTCTATGCAGTCCGTGCTGACTTCAAACTCACTATGAAACTGGCCTTAAACTGATCCTCCTTTCTTTCCTGTCCAAATCCTGAGATTACAGTTACACATGTTCTATGCCAATTTCTGCAGTGATGGGGATGGAACCCAGAGCTTCATGCATGCTAAGTAAGTACTCTAACTACTGAGTTATATACTTACTCCTCAGATTTTTTCCTAAGGTTTATTTTTAATTATGTAGATTGGATATGGGGTGTGGGTTCAGATGTGCATATGTGAGTACAGATGCCCTTAGAGTCTAGAAGAAGGAATCGGATATATAAATTTTGTTTATGTATTTATGTTGCATGTATGTATGCATATGTGTGCTTGTACATGTGGAGGTCAACATTAATGTTGAGTATCTTCTTCAATTACTTTCCACATAGCCATCTTCCCAGCCCAATAGCAAACATTTTTAAAGGAGTAGGATCTTATTTTTCTTTCCAATGACTATATGAATGAAGACAGCCCATTTCACAAGTTAACCTTAACCATCAGTATGGCAACCAGAGATGGGATGGAGTTCCTGAGGCCTCTTCCTTCTATGTCCCCTGCTTGTCTGGTTTTCTTTCTTTTCCTTCCTTCCTTCCTTCCTTCCTTCCTTCCTTCCTTCCTTTCTTTCTTTCTTTTTGCTTTGTTTTTCTGGACAGAGTTTCTCTGTGTAACAGCCCTGATGGATCTGGAATTGGCCTTCAACTCACAGAAATCTGTCTGCCTCTGCCTCCCAAGTGCTGGGATCAAAGGCATGTGCCGCCACCACCGGGTTTCTTGTTTGGTTTCTGCAGTCTTCAGAGAGCAGGGGGATTCCACATAGACTCCTTCCTCGGGCTCAGCATAATGCCACATCTGAGAACATAACAGCCCAGCCTTGCTGTCAACCCCAAGGCATGGGTGTGTGTGTGTGGGGGGGCACGTTGGACTTCTGCTCTCCACTTATCTCCAGTCTTAGAAGGAGTGGCTTTTGAGGTATAGTTCAGCACTGGGATCATAAAGGAGCTTCCTAGAGCTGAGAAGCAGAATTCTTTTAGGTATAAACTAGGACCAGACTAGAACTGGCCTCAGAGAAAGAGAGACCACTTCTGGGAAGGTACCTAGATATGGTCCTTTTCAGGGATTCTGGAACAGGCATTCATTAGTGGCCACCTTCCAGCCATCAACCTCACACACTAGGCGGATGAAGACTTTTTCCAGAACCAGCTGGCTTACTCTGTTATCTAGAAAAGCTCCTCAGAGTTCCCCAGACCCTTTCTGGGGTCAGAAGCCTCTGTCCTACAGTCCCTAGAGTATCCCTTCCCTTCTTCACTGAGTTCCCTTTCTAGAATACCCTGGGAGTGTCATTCCCTCTACTTGGCCTCTTAAAAGCTTCCTTCTCTCTGAAGAACCAATTGTGAAGAAGTGGCATTTTCTCTAACCCAACAAACTAGTCACTTACTTTCTGTGGCTTACTAAGACAGATTTGAAACAGAATTAGGACATTTAGCCTCCACTGTGGTCTCAGGGAACCACCATTGAGTTAATACAGAGTGCCAGTGCTAGTCTGTGATTGTAATGTCTGTATGCCCTGCAGTGTAACTCAGAATGAAAACAATAGCAACCATGAAATAATAATGGCCCTTTTTTCTTTTTTTTAATTTTTAAAATATTTATTTATTATGTATACAGTTTGCTGCCTGCATTTGTCCTTGCAGGCCAAAAGAGGGCAACAGATCTCATTATAGTTGGTTGTGAGTTACTATGTGGTTCCTGGGAATTGAACTCAGGACCTGTAGAAGAGCAGTTAGATGAGCCATCTCTTCAGCCCACGGCCCTGTTGTTCTCCTTTGAAAAACACAGATTTTAAATTTGCCATATTTTGGGGGTGGGTGTTTTGAGATAGGATCTTACCATGTAGCTCTGATTGTCTGGAAACTTATTAACTTACTGTGTAGATCAGGCTGGCCTCAGACTCACAGAGATCTCCTTACCACTGTCTCCTTCATACTGGGATTAAAGGCATGTGCAACTACACCCTCCTTGCCTTTTTTTCCCCCCTGAACCTAGTTAGCAGTGGGCTAATGCAGAATATTATCATTAGCTCTGTGACATCATCCCATCTAGTTTGTATCACCACTGACATCTTTATCCTTACATTGCATGAAATTGTCCTTCCACTTGCCCTGCAGTATCAGCTGATACCACCTATCAGATAGCTGACAGGAACCATCTGACCTCCCTCTAGTTTCAGTGGCCGGTGTTAGTTCATCTTTCTACCAAAGTTTGTTCCTAGGCCTGTTTCAGGCTCCTTGTTAGAAACTGCATTGCACATGAGCAGATGGTGTTCAACTGTGCATACAAGGGGCAGACTTTAAACTACAAAAGCCTTGAGGGGTGGGACCGCGAGGAGATGCAATGGGTCCAGGCTTTGCAGACCTGAGAATTTGTCTTCTAGCCTTTGGAGAAATCATGAACTGCCTCCCATATCCACCGGTGCTTCCTCTTCGAAGGGAAGTAAGCCAGGAGCCTCCACCGGACTCGCTTACTTCCCTCCTCTAACTAGAGAGCTCCTTTTGGTGCTCTGCCCTCGCAGTGTCACTGGTCAGGCAGGGGAGGGGTAGGGAGTGGAGAGGTGAGGAGTGGTTGGCTACAGTAACAGTCAGAGAGGGCGGGCCGCAGGCCGGGCCGGAAGCTGGCCCTCCCATTGGTTGAGAGTAGTGTGGGAACTGTAGCCAAGTAGGATTCACAGGCCCCGCCGTTGGACTGCCTTTTTAAAGCTTTCAGTGCACGGGCTCGAGGTTCAAGTTTGTAGGAGCGCACCAACTCTGCGCTCACTAGCCCGCCTGGTGCATTATGCCGGTAGACATTCCAGGGAAGCCGAGCGCTTCACCACTCGGAGGAGTTCTGACTAGCCCTAGCTGGACTCCAGACAAGTCGGACCACGCAGCTGAAAACCGTAAGGTTAAAAGGGACAATGAAACACCGGATTCAACCGCTGGTCCACCTATTAGTCCTCCAAGCGGATCATGGAGAAGTGGCGGTTTGCGTTCATCAACATAAGCCTTGTTCTGCTCCAGGCCGTTATCCTGAGCGCGCATGGGAAGGATGTGAGCCGGGCTGGGATGAAGCACTCGAAGGGTCTCCAGTTCTCAGGGCTTACTATTGCCCTCAGATCCTAAGATCCAGAATGTAGGATACCTCTAGCTTGCCATCCATCCTGCGTTCCTGCCTCCAGAGCTCCCAGCACACAAAACTTGAGACAGCTGGCATCCTGGAGATGACCTTGAGACATCTGCAGAACCTACATGGCCCAGTGACAGGTGGGGTGTGGGTGACACTGTGTGGAGGTGAGAGGTGTGTAGTAGGATCGCCCCGCAGGAACCAATTTCCACTTTCTGTGCTGCAGCAGCGGCCCTGTGCCAGCCCTGAGATCCTGACCAAGTATTGGGCTGTTTTCAAAGAGTGCTTCTCTTTGAACTGTTTCCTGACTGGCTGTGACGTATCCCAGCCGGTGAGTGCCTTCACCAGATTGTGGCTGAATGAAGTGTGGCCTGTCCTAGGGCTGCAGGCTTGAGGCCTAGACTGTTAGCAGAGAATATTTACAGAGTTGTGTTGTGGTTTTGTTTTGTTTCATCTTGTGAATGGTGTGGTTCTGTAGTACCCCTTCCGGCCTCCAGCA